AAAGGAACTCTTTGTACCAAATTGTGCTGGTGCTCAACTGGGTTTCCATAGGGAAAAGAAAATAAAGTTTGACTCCTACTTCACAGCATTCACAAAAATAATTCAAGCAGGATCATAGTCCTGAATGTAATTGCTAAAACTATAAAGTTTCTAGAAGAAAAAAGAAGAGAACATCTTTACAAACTTGGGCAGGCAAACTATTTTAGAGAGAACACTAAAAAGCACTTGCCATAAAAGAAAAATTGATGAATTGAACTTTATCATACTTCAAAACAAAAGTATTGTAACTAGAACATATAAGAACTCACATAAATCAATAATAAAAGGATAAACAATTCAAGTTTTAAAAAAAGAGGCAACAGACCTAAACATTTAATTCACAAAAGAAGATACAAAAATGACCAAAAAAGGCACATAAAAATGTGATCAACATCATTAGACATCAGGGAAAACAGAATTAAAGTAACAATGAGATGGCTGAAAAAGCCACACTAGAATAGCTAAAAATAAAAAAGGCTCACAGCAACAAATGTTGGCAAACATGCGGAGCAGTTGGAACTGTCTATACATTGCTGGAGGGAATGTAAAATTATACAACCATGTTGAAAAAACGTATGGCAGTTCCTTATATAGTTAAACTTAAAACTGTTCCATGACCCAGCAGCTCCACTGCACAAAAAGACTTGTATAAAAATCTTTATTCATAATAGCCGCAAGGTAGAAACAACCCAATGGAATGGATAGACAAATTGTGGTATCTTCATGCTACACAATAAAAAACAATCAATTACTGATACATGAAACAATATGAGTGATTCACAAAAACAATATGTTAGGTAAAAGAAGCCCAACACAAGAATACATACTGTATGGTTCCATTTGTGGGAAGTTCCAGAATAGATAAAACTAATCAATGGTGAAAGAAACTAGAAAAATAGTTGCTCATAAGGGAGGGGCAAGGATTGACTAGAAGAATTTATTCTGAAGTGATTAAAATGTTTTATATCTTAATTGAGATGTTGATTACATTTTTAAAATTAATCAAATTATACACTTAAGTGTATTTCACTGTATATTAATTTCATCTTTTACAAAAAGCCCTTGAACAATCTCTTCTCTGTGCAAAAGCCACCCTTAAGTACACACACACTTCACATTAACACATCAGATTGCAAAACTGAAAATCTAATTGTCAGTGAGTATGTGGAACAACTGGAACTTGTATTCTCTGCTTGTGGGAGCATAAACTGATACAAATCACTTTGGAAAGCAATTTGACAATATTTAATAAAGTTGAACGTGTGCATATGACCCAGCAATTCCACCACTAATTGTTTACCTCCCCAAACTCACATGTGAACAAGTAGATTCAAAGCAGTATTGTCTGTAATAGCTACACACCAGAAATCACTCAATGCTCAGCAACGGGAAAATGGATATATACATTGGGCATCACCCATAAAACTGAATATTAAACAGCAGTAAAAATGAAAGAAGCAGAGTGACTCCCATTAATTATGTTTCTGAATACAGCTACACAGAAACAGAATATTGAGTGAAAAAAAAGATGCGAAAAATACATATTGCATGATACCATTTATATAAAACTTGAAAATATAAAAACTCAATAAACTCCCTATGCATGTAGGCATAAATAGGAATGGTATGAAAACGTGAATGAATAATAAGCATCAAAATCAAGATAGTGGTTACCTCTAGGGAGAGAAAGAAGTATACAGGGGCTCCATCTCTATGTTTTATTTTTAAAATCTGAAGCAAATGTGGAAAAATATTAATATTTGTTATGCTTGGTGGCGGATACAGGGTATTTATTTGAGATACTGTTCCACATGCATTTCTGCATGTTGAAATATTTCAAGATAAACAAAGAGAAGTCAACTCTCCAATCACTCAAGCTTAGAGAGACTGGTGTAAAGAATTAATAAATAGTTTCACTGTTTCCTGAAGAGAAATTGCAAACTATCTGACTGCCCAAGAAATACAGGAGTCATTTATTCTTTGGAGCTTTGGGTATACTTTAGCTCATTTATTTATCCTTATCTTCTTTCCACAAAGGATTCAAGGTAGCTTGCAACAAAAGACACATACAATGAGACAGGAAAATGTAAACGTAAGTAGAATATCAGGATCAAAGATAACAAATATTCCATTAATACTGGTTAACCACAGTTGCTGTGATTAAACCAAGTTTCAAACTTGGCTCTGAACTTCTTGGCAACAGTAACCATTCCATCTCCAGCTGACCCATAAAAGCAGGTTATGAAAACTAACCTTTGTTCTTCAAGATTTAAACTGAATATTGTCCTGAGCAGTCTCTTTGTATTCTGTTTTTCATTTTGCCTTGCTAACTAGCCAGGTTCTTCTTTCTTTTGTCTTCCTCTCCCCTCCCCTCTCCTCCTTTCCCTTTCCTTCCTCGTTCCTTGCTTCCTCCCTCCCTCCCTCCCTTCCTTCCGTCTTTCTTTCCTCCCTTCCCTCTATTTCCCTCCTTTTCATTCTTTCATTTATTTTACCCAGATACCAGATCCTTAAGACTAGCGGTGGTTATGAATGTAGGTCCTATCTACTATTTATTGGATGAAATACCCTTGGGTGAGGTTTCTAACCTCTCTATGCCTCAGTTTTCTAATGTTCAAATGGGCATATCTGTCATACCTATATCACAGTGTTAGGAGATTCAATGAGATAATAATGCATGCAAAGAGCTTAGAATAGTGCTAGACACTGCTCAATAAATCTTAGTTGTTATGATTATTACTACTCAGTGAAGGAGAATACGAATCCCAAGGTATTCCGTGCCATGGTCAGGAACAGATCAGGAGCAGGGCAAGGCTTCACTGTCTCATATGCCAGGCTGTCAGTGGAGGGAAGCTTGGGAAATGGGGAGCTGATACCAGCACCATCCTCAGATTTAGGAGCACAGTTAACTAGCCTCATATCCAACAGCACACTTAGCAACCACCCCAAGATCCAGCAGCACACGGAACCATCTAGCTACTGCACCCGAATATGAGGGACAGTATCTCCCCAAATGGGGGACACTGGACATTTCCGCTTTTGAGGTAACCACAATATTCTGTTTCTCCTTGAGATTCCTTTTCAAAAAAAGCACTCCTTCAGCACACACTAGCCTGGACAGTCTCAGACTGTGGGATATGCATCTCTTCCCCTTTCCTGAAGACCCTGGCAAACCCAAATAGAGAAGACAACTTGCTCTAGGGATCACCATTAACAACTTAGGACCCTCACTTGATTCCAGACCCAGTAGACCCAGGTCACCTTGTCTTTCCATCTGGAGATCATCCTCACCTAGGAACTCCTGCAAGCAAAACAGTTTGGGAGGAAGCTGAGCTGAAGGGGACAGGAACTAGATGGGAAGACATAGCCATTGGAGTTTGCAACCAGGCAAAATACAGATTCAAGAAGTAGAAATCAATTGGTATGGGATAGTGGGGGCAGACAAGAGAGAGCTCAGGAACAAAGGGCTGAGAAACCAAGTGACTAAAGCTGGGGCATAAGGCAGTTTGGTTTTAGCAACAAGACAGAAATCCTATTACTAGGCCTGAAGCAGAAGGCCTAGGTAGAGCCAGCAGTGCCTGGGTAGGTTTGCTGCTAAGTCATTGAGTGCTGACCTACGGTTCCTTAAATTCCCAGAACCAGGGAGGACCAAAAATGCACATAAATGTGAGAGTCAAGTCCCCCTAGCATCAGGGATGGGTTAACGGAGGAGAGGCAGCATTCAGGAAGCTAGAGAGATTATTTATTAAACAGCCAGGCCATTCACCTGCAAAGCCTAGAGCGAGCGACAGTTCCCCACACTCCAGAGGAATAACAAGTTCTTGCCTTTCCTGTTTACTAGAAGTCCATGAGCAAGATATTCTTGGTGGTTCTGTCAACATCACCCTCAAGGTAAGATCTCATTTCTATACCAAACAAGATATAAACCCCAGAGAGATTACCTTGGATCATCAAGAAATGCTAATAGCTCTTTCTGTCCTGGGGCACCAATTCTGTGGTTCAACTTATATCTAGAAGAAGAAGAAGAGCGCCATTTATTGGGTGTTCGCTGTGTGCCAGGCATAATAAATGCTTTAAATGCATTATCTCATTTGATCCTCACAACAATCTTATGAGGTAGGTTCTATTATGAGGAAACTGAGGTTCAAATTGGTCACAAGCTATCAAGCTGGTAGCTTAAGTTCCAAGATGCAAACCCAGGACAATGTAACTTAAAAGGTCACGTTCTGAAGTTATGTTAACCTCCTAAACTTGAGCACTTCTTCTTGGGGGTGGATGACCTAGAGTTCTTAAGGATGTGAGCCTTTCTTAGAACCGCAAAAGTAGCTTACCTAGCTTCCTTCCAAGCATTTCTGTATGACTTTGTTGTCCTATAACTTCATTCTTGTTTTCCCACATCCTGGTGGTTCTGCTGACAGAAGAGCTAGTAGGCAAAATCTGAGTAAGTTGGAGAAGTCCTATTTATTACCTGTAAGATTGTTTTCCTGAAGTTGTATCATCGCTAGCTATGGTGATTGGCTCCAACCACCCTCCTCACCAGCATGAACTAGGACAAAACCCTGCTGACATCCTGTTTACCTGTTTGATCTTCATATGGAATTAGAAAAATTAGAATCTTTCATCCATGAATTCCTAAATCTTCTGAGGTACAGGTACACATGCTTACCTGAAAAAAGAGCCCCAGAATAGCTAACAACAGAAGGAAACACCTTTCAGAGAAGATCACTTACTGATGTGTAACTGCATTTTACATTCACTAAGGATCACTTAAGACAAAGCATTTTTTTCCCACCCTAGTTTTGACTCATTTTCACATTTTCTGCCCACAGTGACCCCCAGGATCTCCTGTAGTACCCTGAGGAGAACAGCATCCCTAGAATAAGACCTCTTCCTACAGAAGTGAAGAGAAGGGCTCCTACTCAGCTAAGGAGAAACATACAGTAAATACGATAATTCTCACTGGATTAAGGAGGCAAACTTTTTTTTTTTACTAATTTATTAATAAGTTTATTCTTTACTCATAAAAAAGAACATATTTTTGGCTTTGAAATCATGACATAAAATAAAAAGGCAAACAACTGGAAATTTTCGGCTGAAAGTAGGTAAAAGCAACTCATGCTGAACCATGAGCAAACACTGCGTGCTTTGGGCTACAGCAGGGGCACCAATCAAAGCAAGAACCGAAGATGCAGTGCTAATTCAAGGTCCAAGCTGTCTCTGAAGACTGCTTAGTTCCCAAATGTTGTCTGGTCAACATATGTAGGAAATTAATCTTCCCTTTCTCTCTCTTTCCTTCCTAACCTTTAATTACAAGAACAGTAGGCAATAATAGCTTGATGCTAGTCTTGCTAGTTTGTAGGATAGTGTTGTTGTTGTTTTAACATGTTTAACCTACATATTTTCAACCTTAAAAAACATAAAACTGCTAAAATCATCTGTAACTACAAGTCATTTCTATTTTTGGTCAGTTATCTTCTGTAGGCAAAGCTTCATGTAGGAATTTTTATTGCGGATTTCTATGACCGCATCCCTAACAAGCTCAATGAACATCTGTGGCCAAAGCTTCTGCAAAGCCTCATTTTTCATGTTGATCTCTGTGGCTTCCTTCACAAGGTCCTCAATATATGTCTTGCAGAATTTCTTTTTTTCCTTTATTTCCTGTTAAAAAAAGAAAAAATTGCATTGAATCATAATTAATCCAAAAGCCAAAGCAACAATCAGCTGAACCAGAGAAACCTGAAATAATCTATTCTTACCCCCAACCCTCAGAGCAGGAATACTTTCCTAGACACTCTTGACAGAGCCCCACTTGAGTAAAGGCAGCAATAAGGAGCTCACTACTTCCCAGCCCACTCCTACCTCTGTTGGACAGCTCTGTTAGAAAATGTGTTTCTTTATTCAAATCACTGGCTCATAACTACTATTTCTCCCTTGGTAGACTTTCTCCTCCCTCAGTTCAGGCCGTTTAGTTCACACAAGTCAAGTGAATGCACAGATTCATGGTTTCTAGTGGTAACTGTATCAGAGTACTGATACTGACAATCTTAATTGTATGAGGTGAGCTAATATCCATATACATACTTTAAATACCCATACTCTGAATTCACTCTGTATTTTAGGAAAGCATATAGTGATACATTACACTGACTTATGTGGCCTAGACCATTTGGACAAAGTTGGGGCAAAGTGTATAAGGAGGAAGAGGAAACATACACAAGCCTGGGACCCAGAACTTGGCCTTTAAAAGAAATGGTGCACCCACTCAACTTCTGGGTCTGGCAGTCTGCAAATGAAAAACCTGGGTTGAAAATACCACAGGGAAAGTTTTGGGCCCAAGGATATTTGGGCTTTGGGCCCCAAATTCATCCCAGAGGCTGAAACAAGGCCATTTTTTTAAATGCAAGAATTCAACATTAATTTTGGCTATTGATACTTTTGGGGAGTATAAAGGCACGATGATGGAAAGTGTCATAATATATACGGAGAAATCAATGGATAGATAAGATAATTAGAATTATAAGGGAAGCAATTCACATCAACGAAGGAGGAAAGAAATAATAAACGTCAACGAGACAATAGGTTTAACTACTTGGAAAGGATCTACTGAAACCTCCAACTCAAATCAAAATACCAGAATAATTTCAAGATGAATTAAAGAGTTAAATTTAAAATATCAACAGATATTGCCATTAAAATTACACTTATGGGGCCGGCCCTGTGGCTTAGCGGTTAAGTGCGTGCTCTCTGATGCTGGCGGCCCGGGTTCGGATCCCGGGCGCACACCGTCGCACCACTTCTCCGGCTACGCTGAGGCCGCGTCCCACATACGGCAACTAGAAAGCTCTGCAACTATGACATACAACTAACTACTGGGGCTTTGGGGTGAAAAAAAAAAAAAAAATTTTTAAAAAAAAAAAAAAAAAAAAAATTACACTTATGAAGATCTATAATAACAAGGAAAATACATTATAATGTTAAGTGGAAAAAGAAAAATACAAAATGAAATTTTGATAGAGGTTGAGGTATACAAGTGTATGTATTTGTCAAAACTTAGCAATTGTACACCTAAAATTTGTATTTCATTGTATATAAATTTTACCTCAAAAGAAGAAACTTTATCAAATATCAAATACTAAACTCCAATTAATGATATGCATGCTGAATTATTCAGGGAGAAGCATGCTAATGTCTGCAATTACTTTGAAATGAATTAAAAAAATAAAGTGGGTTGTTGATTGGATAAAGGATGGGTAGATGCACAGATATGTGACAAGCAAGAACACTGTAGAGCACAATGTTAATAGAAGAATCTAGGTGTGGGTGTATGGGTGTTTTCTGTAAAATTCTTTCAACTTTGCTGTATGTTTTCAATTTTCAATAAAAGTTAGAAAAAATATATAGAAAATGATTCATAGAAAATATATTGAAGTGTCATTAAGACTGTCTTTGCGTTGTAAGACCATGAGTATTTTTTCCTCCTTTTTCCTATTTCTCTTCCTTTTCCAAATTTTTACAGTCTTTAAAAAATAAAATATGTTTTAGATTCTTGATCAATTAATGTAAGTCAATGATGAGTCCCAACTGTCACTAACTTTCCCTAACAGAGGCATATTTTGGAAATTTTCTTATGACGTAAGATTTCTCTAAATAATCACTCACCATTCAGGGGTCAACATGCTGATTTGATTTACTTCATGTGCTAAAAACAACAGGTCAAGGGTTGACCTATCATAAAAATATGTACAGATTTTGATGGGTGATAAATAACAAATGATTCCAGCCGGCTACTTCTCCGATGAACCTCACTTCTCTAACTCTGAAATATAGTCTGGGTCTTAGTCACCTGCACTACGTTAGGTCGTTGATGAGAACAGCATTTAGCTGCTCCCTTTTAACACTCAGTAAATTTGGCCTACCCAGGGACTACCAGGAAGAAAGACAAGTGTGACTCACCAGAGATCAATAATTAAAATGAGCAATATTTTACAATGAGCAATGCATTTATACAAGTAGAAGGCACAGAGCATATTTAGTGAATGTCTCTTTTGCAGATTTCTAAGTTTCTTAAAACATGATTTTGAATTAAAACAAAAAAAGATAAAGTTCTAGCAGTAAGACTGGAAAAAATTTTATAGTAATTTAGGAATAACAAAGATTTAAAAAAATTTTTAAATGATATATTTTGTTAAGTAATTTATACATAATACAAATTAAAATCAACTTTTCGTAATTGGCATAATGCAATTTTTGTGCTTTAAGATTTCCTGCTATGGTTTCTTCCATTATTTCTTTATAAACATGTTGATACAGAAATATATCTGCCATAATAAACCTTAACTTAGTAACTGTGTTTGAAAGCATTTTTACTTCATCATTTATCGTCTCCTCCAAGCCAATTACTCTGCATCTCTGTGCAGTATACTCTAAAACTCATCAACTGTCCGCCAGGATGACTCACTCTGCCTGTCCAGAATGATTCTGTTAAGGAGCACATTAGAGATACCTCTTGCCCTGACCCATCAAGGAGTTGTTGCTCTTTGAATAATGCTTTTTCCGTTCTTAAATGCTTTCATATACTTATTTTTTTCCTATCCCACAATATCCTTGTGGGGTTCATAAAGCAAGTATTTTACAAGTTCAATCCCAATGAAATTAACTCTACACAATATTGTTTATATTATTTCATTGAACTAAAATTTTGTTGTCATGAAGATGGTTTGGAAAAAACAAAGTAGGTCAAAGGTGGGATCTGTCATAGAGCAATTTTAACCATAATGGTACTGGTATTGGGATTCAATCCCTATCACTATTTTATAAATGGGAAACTAAAGTCAATAGAGGTTGAGAGACTTGCTCAGGATTAGATTGATTATCATCTACTAATACTTACCTAGAGAAAACTCTAATCTAGTCCTTCAACAACCTACAGTCTAGCTGGAGAGACGGCCTACACATATGCAAAGCTAATTAAAAAAAATTAAACAGTAAATAAGTGCTGAATGAGATATTTAGACAGCAAATATAATCAGTGCTCAGAGAAGAGAGAGCTGTTTGCACTGGGGTGGTCAAGAAGACTTCAGAAAGCAGAAGGACATACTACGAAAGAGTCCAAGGTCAGGAATCAGAAGGTCTGAATTCTAGAGGCAGCTCAGTCAGTAACTCACCATGTGATCCCGAGCAGCTCACCTGAGTTTCCAGTTTTCCTCATATGTCTAAGAACAAGATTGGATTCTTTAAAGTCCCTTTCAGCTCTCTGATTCTATGTCCATCTTAAGTCTTTTTTAGAACGAGTCAGGAGAATGGATGGACAATTACCAAGCAACAGAATTACAAATGTCATATGGATAATGACAGGGTCTGCTTATCCTGATTTGTGAGGAACGCACTTCAATTAATTCCCTCAACCACTCAGGATGTACAGAAGAGAGAGACTGAGCACTTTGTGCTGCAGTGATTTAAACATTTTTCAAGAAGTGGGGAGCATGGTATAAGGGAAGGAACGCTGGGTTGTGAGTCAAGACACAGTGATGAAGGGACTAGGGCAAGATCTTCCAGGTAATAAGTGGTAGAATCAGGGACTCAAATCCAAGTCTCCTAATGGCCTAGTGTTCTTTCCAAAATATTATGTGACTTCAGATTCCTCCTTTCCCTTTGATATTTCTCAAACCAGGAATCAACATTCCCTGTCTTGACTTTTTCGTTGCTTATTTACTGCTCAAACCACTTTAATCGAGACTCTGCTTATACGACTCCACTGAAACTATTCCTGTTAAAAAAAAAAAAAAAAACACCAATGACCCTGATTGCCAAATTTATCAAATTTTTTTTCTTTCTAGTTTGTGCCCTGGGGGTATTAGAAAATCATAGCCTACTCAACCATGTCATAAAGATTTTCACCTACTTTTTAAATGAGAACGTTCAAGTTTTGTTTTTCATACTTGGGTTTTTATTTGATCTGGAAATAATTTTTGTTGTATGGCGTGAAGTAGGGGTTCAATATGTATTCCTGATGTGATAGTCCATTCCCTCAGTACCATTTATTGTATAGTCTGTCTACACTAGTCCACAATACCTGCTATCTGTATAAAGTTTCCCCATACACATGGGATACTTCTGGCTCTCTATTTTGTCCACAGGTCTACTTGTCTATTCCTACACTACCTAAATTACTGTGCTTTATAATAATACTTGCTATCTGGTAAGGCAAGCTCTCTTACTTTCACTCTTGTGTATTTCAGGTCCTTTGCTCTATCAGATAACTTTTAGGCTTAACTGGTGAGTTTCCACAAATAACACGGTCCAAATTTTGATTAGAACTGCCTTATATTTATGGATGGATTTAGGAAGAGTTCACATCTTTACCAGGTAGAAAGTTTCTGTCCAGGAACAAAAAACTATCTATTCAGTTCTTCTTCAATGTCTTTCAATAAAATTTTATAATTTTATTGAAAACTTCATACAGGGCTTATACATATTTTATTATTCATTCCTACAGGGTTTGTTATTATGGTAAATGGTATATTACTTAAAATTTGTTTGTGAATAGGTAATACAACCTATATTGAATCATTGACTCCTTTTCTGAATGATTTCTAAAAGCTCTTTATAATTTAGCGAGATTAGATGCAAACTATTTTCTCAGTTTTCATTCATCTCCACTTATTTTATTCCCCTGGAGGTCTTTCTCAGCCCAATACTACATGGTAACTTTCCATGGTTTCTTGCAGAAATGTTATGCTTTCACTATAAACTTTAAAATCTCTGACCCATTTAGAATTTATGCTGGTATAAGATACAATGTCTGAATCTAGCTTTTTTTCCTCAATTCCCTAATTATTTCCAAATCACTTAATAGATAGTCCACCTGACTGGTTTGAGACTATTCTTTGTCATGTAATAAATTCTCTCTTGTATTTGGATGTATTCTTGACTTTTCCATTCTATTCTATTAGACTATCTCTTCATGATCATCCTGTTTTAATTGATAAGCCTTTATAATATGCCTTAATATCTAGTAGTGCTATTCTTCTCCTCATGGTTCTTCTTTTTCAGAGTTTTTATGGCTATTTATGTTTATTTTCCCACATGTACTATAGGATCTACTTGTTTAAAAAAAAACCTCAATGAACAATTTTTGGTATTTTTATTGGGATCATATTAAAATCTTAAATTAACTTAAGGAAAACTGATATATTTTGCTTTAGATCCTTCTTATCCAAAACATGGTAGATTTTTCCATTTGCATAAATCTTTTGTGTGCTTCATTAATGTTTTAAAGTTTACTTCATATAGATCTTGCATATGAGGTATTTTATCTTTTTGTGTTGCTACTGTGAGTTGAATCTTTTCTTCCATTATATTTTCTTTTTTGTTGTTGTTTATATACATGGAAGCTGTTGGTTTCTGCTCCATTACTGAATTTTCTTACAGCTTTTTATAGTTTCTCAATTAATTCTCTTGGGATTCCCAGGTATTCAATAATATTATCTGTAAATAGTAAGTTTACTCCCTTCTTTTCAAGTTACCACTGATTTCTTTCTCTTGTCTAATTGCATTGTCTGTATTGATAAATAATAATGGTGATATTGGACATTCTTGTCTTGATATTGACTTCAAAGACGCATTAGCGTTCTACTGCTATGCAACAAACTACTTCAAACCTAGCGGCTTAAAACAACACACATGGCCGGCCCCGTGGCTTAGCAGTTAAGTGCACGCGCTCCACTCCTGGGGGCCCAGGTTCGGATCCCGGGCGCGCACAGACGCACCGCTTCTCTGGCCACGTTGAGGCCGCCTCCCACATACAGCAACTAGAAGGTTGTGCAGCTGTGACATACAACTGTCTACTGGGGCTTTGGGGGGAAAAATAAATAAATAAAATCTTTAAAAAAAAAAAAAAACAACACACATCTATGATCTCACAGTTTCCATGCATCAGGGGTCCATGCATGGGTTAGCTGGAAGCTCTGCTCAGGACTTCACAAGGCTTGAGTCAAGATGTTGGCCAGGCTATGTTCTTTTCTGAAGCTTAGGGTCCTCTTCGAAGCTCAGGTAGTTGTTGGCAGAATTCATTTCCTTGTGGTTATAGGTCTGCAGTCCTATTTTCTCACTGGCTGTCAGCATGGGGCTACTCTGTAGAAGCTTCTGACAGTTCTTTGCCACGTGACCCTCTCAAAATATGGTGGCTTACTTCTTTAAGGCCAGTAGGAGAATCTCTCAGGGAAATTGTAAATCTTTTTTTAAAGGACTTGCCTGGTAGGTCAGGCTCACCCAGGATAATCTCTCTTTTTATTAACTCAAAGTCAACTGATTAGGGATCTTAATTATATCTGCAAAATCCTTTTATGTTTTCCACATTCCATTGGTTAGAAGCAAGTCACAGGTCTTACCTGCATTAGGGGAGGGAATTATACAAGAGTGTGGATACCCAGGGTTGAGAATCATGGAGGCTATCTGAGTTAGAATTCTGTCTACCGCTAACGCTAATGTTTCTAGAATTTCTCCATCATGCATGATGTTTACTATCCAATTTCTCTTCATCCTACTTATTGAGTTAAAAAAATTTTAGAACGGGTGTTGAATTGTGTGAAATGCCTTTTCAATGTCTATAGAAATAATCACAAGTTTTCATCTTAGATTTATTAATTTACTAATATTGAATCTTCCTTGCATTCCTAGAACAAATCACCCTTGACTGTGATGTTTGTTATTCATTTAATGTTCTGCTGTATTTCGCTTGACAACAGTTTTAAAGGATTTTTGCATCATCAACATTCTTAGGTATTTGGTCTGGCTTTTCTTTTTCCATGCAATCCTGACAGGTTTTGGAATCAGTGTTATTGCTGTCTGTCTTGAAAATATGTAAAAGTTTTCCTTCTTTTTCAATACTCTTAAACAATTTAAAAATCATTGGAATTATCTGTTCCTTAAAGAGTTGGTAGTTTTCTCTACGAAACTGTTATTTTGCATGCAGCTCTTTGACATTTTTCTAAATGTCTTTTATAGAAATTATATTAATTTTTGACTCATAGAACCAACTGCTCTCAGGAAGAGAAGGACTCATAATCCTGCCAGGGTGCCTTTCATTTTCCTCTTCTGGCAGCATCATGAAGCCCTGATTGGCTAAAGGATTACATTCAATCTCTTTCACATAGCCCTCTTACTTCCTTCCAGTCTCTTCTTTTAACAGCATCTATCTCAATCTCGGTGCTTCAACAACACTGAACTGCTTATAGTTCCTGGCCTCTCCTTATCTGTTTTATATTTCCATGCTTTTTATTCACACTGTGCTATCTGCCAGAACTGTCCTTTCCCCTTTGTCATATAGTTATTTTATCCTTTAAGACTCACCTCAGGAAGCTTCTCCTCTAGAAAGCCTCCCTTGACCTGGGTTAACTATCCCATCTCTACTCTCTTGATATACTGATTTATAATTATCCCTGTATATGTCTACCTCCTCCATTAGAATGTAAGATCCAAGAGGATAAGGACAGCGACTTCCTATAGCCCAAGTATATGTGTGATAGGTGCTCAATATGCGATTTTTGAATGAATGGAAGTATGAATGTAGAGAGGCCTCAGATGAGACAGAGAATTAGCTGACTTGAAGTATTTGAAGAGTTTTCATAAGAGACTTGTTCTCTTTTCTACATAAAGTGGTACTAGGATCATTAAATGAAAGTTATTAGCTTAACATGTAAGAATTTTTTCACAGTTGGAGCTGTTTAGTAATACACAGCTACCTCACGAAGCGGCGCCCTTTCTTGCACTAGAAGAATTTAAAGCAGAATCTGAACATCTTTTGGGATGCTATAAAAAATATTGTTGCATTGAGTTTTCAAGTGATTTTCAAGCTGTAATCCTTAGAGCCCTATGGGTTCCAAAGAGATGTTTCAGGATTAGGGGCGAGGTGAAGGGAAAGTACTAGAAAAGAAGATGCAATCAGATGAAGCTCTGAACGCTCTACTTTCCCTCTACAACAGCAGCAGCTCTGCTCTTTTGCTTTGTTTCGACCTACTGGATTTTCATGCTACAATATGGTTTGAATAAAGACTCCCACTGCTGGTGAAAAACAGTTGAAAACTGCTTGCCTGGCCATTTCACTTCAAATTATATATATAACCACCTGTGAGTTATATAAATATATATGAGTTAAAAATATATAAATAACTCACAGTGCCATGTATATAAGTCATAGATGGTCAATCAATGCTGCCTGCTCTCTATCACGTTCATTTGCCCTTTCATGCCCTCAAAATCTCTTGTAGAATCTTAACATTCTATTGCTAGTTAGAGGACCAGCTTCCTTATGAGCTCCATCAAGGCAGGCACTGCTTGCTTTTCCTCTTTATTGCTCCCTGAGCACCCTAACACTGTATTCCTCCAAGAAACCTCCAAACACATAAAGAAATAAAGAACTGGTTCCAGCTTTCCTGGCTAAGTAGCTACAATGGAAACAGAAAAGATCAAAATTACATTACCCGATTAAGAATATAGTAGTTAATGGTGTAGGAGAATGAAAGAAGTAAATTAAAACATCAAGGACTCAGGCAAAGAGAACAGAAATGGAGGTTCTGCTGCGTCCTCTGCTGGTCTGGCATGGGCTAGTTAAGTCCTCACAGCCAGCCTATAACCCTTTTCTTAATTCAGAGAGATCAGGACCCTTGGGCCTACTTTGGTCTAGATTTTTGGTATAGATTTCTTTTGAACACTTTTTTCTGCTAAAATAAAGATATTGGAACTATGAGCTCTACTTTTTCCTAATGCCTTGGTGCCCACTGTCCTCAGCTTTGTATATAAAGTTGGCTAACGCTCCAGAACAAAAAAGGTTATCTTATCTGATTAAGGGAGAAATGTACAACTGCCAAGTCCCAAGCCACGTGGGATATATCCAGGCACTAGATTCCAAAGATCAATGGTAGTTTTACCTCTAGTTTTTCATTATAAAAGTCTCTTGTGGTATAATTAAGTGTAGCACGATTTGTGTTTTCTCCTGCAAGTCTTTTGCTATCATTATTTTCTTCATTGACAATACCAGGTTTTTTCCCTTTGCTTTCTAGCAGATACCGGAACTGCTTCTTCCTGTAGAAAGATAGTAAAGAGATTTGGACAGTTACTTATCAGATTTATTAAAATATGTCTATTTTTCATTGACTTTATAGGGAAGCATTGCTCTTTTGAATATCTGTTTATGAGTTTGAGTATATTATTTATTTGAGCTCAGTTCAGTACCCCAATCTTTCTACTAATTAAGCTATTCAACCCAAATTCTTTTGTTTCATAACTACCAATCATCAACATAAATGTCTCCAGCATTTTTAAAGTGAAAAAACTCTACCTTAAAAAAAATAATCAACACAAAAATGAAATAATCACAGAGCACAAAACAACCCCATTAAAGATCTAGTTGGCCAAACTTTCAAAGTCTTATCTCATAAAATATATGTTAGTTACCTCTTATAAATCACACAAATAGTTCATAATTCCATTATGTAGCTCAGTAGTATTACTCATAGATAGAAAATGGAGTGGGATACTGGTTTAAGTTCAGGCAAAAACAAAAACAAAAAACAAAAACCCTCCTACTGTTAGCATAGCAGGGCAAGATTCTAGTAGGAGGTAAATAAGGAAACAGAAACCTCATTTGATTATGAAGAACATAGACAGTGCTCCTTGTATCACTTGCAGCCCCATGAGCCTAGAATTCCAGAGGACTACAACCCCTCCTCCAGGAAGGTTGCTCTCTGGTGTCCACCACTTAGGGTGTCTCTAAATGAAGGGATATTACTACTTTACTGTGAACTGAAGACTAGGAGCAGAAGAGGAATATATCTTTTAAAATATCTTCCTTTTTCCAATTTAAAAGTATAACAGTCATTTTAGAAATTTTAAGAAGTACAAATTTTGAAAAGTAGGAAGAGATAGATAAAAATCATCGATAAATTTATACCTCATAAATCTATATAAATCTATAATATTGTTTACATTTGATATATTTCTTTCCAGGCTTTTTCTATGAATTTTTGTAAAAAGTTGAAATTATACTAAACATCCAGTTTGTATACTGTTTTCACTTAATGCTATATAATAAGCATTTTCTACATCATTAAAATTAATAATTTTAAGGAATAAATAAAATTAAATTGTGATGTAGATCACAATTTACCTAATCAATCCTTTTTATTGGATATTTAGGTAGCATAATCTATTCACTTTTATAAAGAAAAAAGTAACATATAGATCTTTATTGTATTTACTTCATTGATTTTTTAATTACAAAAGCAATGTACACATATATTTTATATTACTTTTATTAGTCTTTTCAAACAATCAATTTTTCATTAATTTTGTTTTTAATGTCATTTCTTTAACTTTCTTCAGGATTATTTTGCTGTTCTTTTTCTAACTTCTTTAGATAAATGTTTAGCTCATTCATTTGCGGCCTCTATTCTTTCCTAATATACCCATTTCAAGGCTAAAATGTTTCCATTTAGCACCGCTATAACTTGATCCCACAAGTTTTGAAATGTGGTATTTTTATTATATTTCAGTTCAAGGTAGTTTTAAATTTCCATTATGAAATTGTCTTTAACCTGTAGGTTATTTAGAAATGTTTCTTAATTTTCAAATATATGGAGATTTCCTGGCTAACTCTTTATAATTGAGTTAAAGCTTTAAATTGCATTTTCAACAGAGAACATGGTCCAAGTAAACCTTTTAGAATCTGTTGAAATTTGCTTTATGGATAGTATTTTGTCAAGTTTTGTAAATATTCCATAGGCTTGAAAAGAAGGTCCATTCTACAGTTATTGGGGGCAATGTTCTCTAAATGTACATTATGTCAAATTTGTTAATCGTGTTGTTCAAATATTTTATATATATTTTTTCTATTAATGACTCAGAGGTATATTAAAACTTTCCACTGTAATAGTGGATGTGTAGTGCTGTCAATTTTTGGTTTATAATTTTTTAAGGCTATGCCAATAGGCGCATACCAATTAAATTAGAAAATATATTTTTATATTTCTGGCAGACTGAACCTATTAGCATTTTGAAATGATCCTCTTTATTTCTAGTATTGCTTTTAATCTTAGTCTATTTAATCCTCAATGGCTACTGTTTTTATTTTGGTTAGTATTGATGTTATCTTTTCACACTTTTTTACTTTCAAACTTTATTTAACCTTATGTTTCAGATGTGTCTCTTTTAACAACATATAGTTGAACTTCATTTTTTTATTCAGTCTGACAATCTTTGGCTTTTAACCAGAACAATTAGAACATTTGTATTTTATCATTGAGGTAGATTGATCATATTGATGGTCATAATTAATGGCTCCCTTGAATCCATGCCCTTTATAATGTGATTTTGCAGTTAGATAAAGGCTATCTCCAAGTCCCTTAGATATTGCCCTGTGGCTCGCTTTGACCAACGGAATGTGGGAAGTGATGGTGCATCAGTCCTTAGCCTAGGCCTCAGGAGGCCTTGCATGTTTCTGCTCTCTCTTCAAACCTTGCCTCTGCCTTTCATATGAAAATACGCCCAGGCAGATTTCTGCAGTATAAGAGACCATGTGGAGCAGAGACAAGTTGTCCCAGCTAAGGCCTTCCTAGAAGAGCTGATAGCCTGCCAACCCCAAACAAGTGAGAGAGCCCAGGATAGATCAGCAGAGCTGCCTACCCAACCCAAAGGCGACTGTAGATACATGAGGACCCCAGCTGAGGGGAGGAGAACCACCCAGCTGACCTGTAGACTCCAGGAGGAAAATGCTTCTTGTTTGAAGCCACTGAGTTTTGGTACAAAGATACTTGCTGATAAAGCAGTATTTAGGTTAAATCTGACATTTTCTTTTCTTTCTATTTGACTCACATGTTCTGTTTCTTTTTCCCTTCGTCTTCTCCTTGTCCTCCCCCCACCCCACTCCACACTTACTAGCTTGGAAGCTGTATACTCTTTAATTCTTTGGTTACCACAGAAATTACAACATGAACTCTGAACTCACTAACATCTAAACCTAACTACTGTATCTCCATCCTAGACAATACAAGGACCTAGAATACTATATCTCCATTTATCCCTCCCCAATATATATTCTACTGTTGTAGTATATTTTAATTCTATATTTTTAAACCCCATAACACATTATTATTGTTACTTTATACAGTCAATGTTCATTTAGATTTATTCCACAAATTTAATACTTTCCTTGCTCTTTAGCTTTTCTTATACATCAGACCATTTTTGGGATCACTTTCCTTCTGCCTTAATTATAGGATTTATAATTTCTTTTAGTGCAGTAATACTGATAGGAAATCTCTTAGGTCTTGTTTTTATTACTTTGTTTTAAAATGTCTTTATTTTACCTTCATTCTTAAAAGACATTTTTGCTGTGTATAGAATTGTAGGTGGGCAATTGGTTTCCTTCAGTATATTGAACATATCATTCATTATCCTGTCTTCTGGCTTCCACTGCTGCTGTTGTGAAGTCAACTGTTGATGTGCACTCTTTTGAAGACAATCTGTTTTTTCCTGTTGTTTTAAAAATTTTCACCTTATAGGTGGTACTCTGTAGTTTCACTGTAATGTGAGTAGGTATAGATTTCTTTCTATTTATCAAATTTGGAATTAGTTGACGTTAATGTGTAGATTAGTGTATTTTATCAGTTCTGAAAAATTCTTTGCCATTATCCCTTTAAATAGCACCTCTATTCCATGATCTCTATTGTGTCTTTTTGGAACTCCAAACAAATTTCTAACTCATTCCATCTCCAAAATTTCTTAACTGCTTTTCCATATGTTCTTCTTTTCTCTTTGTGCTGCATTCTACAAATTTTCTCTAGCCTATCTCCCAATTTATTGATTCTCTTTTCAACTGTGTCTAATTGGCTATTAAACCTCTTAATTTTTAATTTTGTTTATTGTTTTTCATCTATAGAATTTGCTTTGGTTTCCTTTCAGATCTGCTGGATCACTTTTTTAAATTTCCTGTTTTCTCCAGATATTTTCAACCTTGTCTTTTATATCATGAAATATACAAGGCATAGCCATTTTATAATCTATGTGTGATAACGCCAAAATCTAAAGTATTCATGGGTCTGTTTCTGTGGTCTATTTTTTTTCCTGCTAGTTCTTATATGTGGTGCCTTATTTGCTTGTGTGCTGTTTTCTTTCTCATTGTCATTGTCCTTAAAAATTATCCATGAAGGGGTCCGGCCCAGTGGCATAGTGGTTAAGTTCATGCACTCCGCTTCAGTGGCCCAGGGTTCACAGGTTCGGGTACTGGGCACAGACCTACACACTGCTCATCAAGCCATGCTGTGGCAGCATCTCATATACAAAGTGAGGAAGATTGGCACAGATGTTACCTCAGGGGCAATTTTCCTCACCAAAACAAAACAAAACAACCTATCCATGAGGATTGTTTGAGATAGGATGAAAGTAACTTCCTCCAGAGAGGAGGTGCAGTTTCTTTTCCCAGGTATCTAGAGATAGTAATGTTTAAACTTTGATATTATGTTAAACCATCCATATGTTATGAATTCAGGCTGCAAATCTATATGAGGACTGGCTTTTGGTTACAACTTAGAGACACACTTTTCCCCTTTTCTGCTTACTCCAAGGCAACTTTCCTTGGAAAATACTGAGAGCGGGGAGAAAGGGCAGATTTATTTCTGACACACCCTTACTCTTATTGTGTAGCCATTGGGGTTCTAGCTTAATCTTGGGAAGATCTCAATGTATATTCACCACGTTAGATGGCGGCCTGGACTTTGATTCTTACCCTTCCTTCTTTACACCCAGCAAAATGAAAATTTAAGTTTCCCTGAAATGCCTTCAGGTCAGACACTGTCTCTGTGCTCACCTTACTTCTCAATGTTCTCATTTTCTGATACATCTTGGCCTAGTGTTTATATCTTGTCAGCTCTTCAATATTTTTATGGAGTTTTTATATTTTATATTATCCAGAATTTTTAGTTATTTTTAATGCCAGAGATGGTCAAAACTATCTAACTCACCATTTTCAGAAAAAGAAGTCCAATATATTCTCAATGAAAAGTTTCAAATTGTACAGACATACACAGAGTAAAACTTGAAAAATGCTCTTCAATTACACCACCACCACTCCTAACATCCAGACCCTTCCAAGTGTTCATCCTTTCAGCTCCCTTTCTATGCCTCTATATTTATATGTATACATATTTATTTTGTTGCTTTTTATAACATTGGGTCATAATATAAATATTATTTTATGCGTTATTTTATTTAGTTAATTAACTGTCTCTGGATCATTTCACATCAGAATAGGAGATCTACCTCAATCTTTTCTTTTTTCTTCTTCTTTTTTCATAGTCATATAATGACCGTAATGTAAACAGTATCATATAGATACTACATCCACTGTGTAGACATATCATGATTTATTTAGCTTCCTTATTATTAGGCATTAAGTTGTTTTCCAAAATTGGGCTACTACAAACAAGAAAGCAATGGCGGCCTTGTCTATACATCTTTTGTGCAAATATGTGAGTAACTCAATAGGCTATATTCCTAGTACTGGAACTTCTGGGTTCAAAAACATGATAGATATTGCCAAACTACCTCTCCCCAAAGTCTGTATCAAGTAAAACTTCCATCAACTGTGTAAAGAGTGTATATTGCCCTGAATACTAATAAATCTTTGATATTATTGGTTTTTAAATTTTTAACTCAATCTCATTGGCAAAAATGGCATATCATTATTTTAATTTAATTTGTATTTCTCTGATCACAAGTGAGTTTATCTTTTCTTATGGTATTTGGCCATTTGTATTTCTTCTTGTGACTTCTCTATTCATATGCTTTGCCTTATTTTTCCTATTGTGTTGACCGTTTTTCTTTTACTAAATTTGCAGGACTTCTTCAAAAATGTGTTAAATGTGTTGCAAATATACTCCCCTTATCTGTTCACGTCTTTTGACTTTATGATGTCTTTTACTACATAAAACTTTAAAATTTTTGTGAGCTAAATGTTTCAAATTTTACGAAAGCATTAGAAAATACAGTAGAATATTTTTATAAATTTGGGATGATGAATACCTTCCTAAAATACAAAATTCATCTTGTGTAGTTTCCTGAGAAATCACACTGGGATTTTTGACTGGAAATTTAGTAAATTTGTGATTTACTTTGAATAAATTGGCATCTTTACAATATGAAGTCTGGGAACTCATTAATAATGTACACCTCTCTATTTTTTAGATTTCTTTTTTATTCCTAATTTCATTGTTTACTTCATAGTTACTTTGTGTTAGGTGGATTTCCTGGTATTTTATAGTTTTTATTGCCTCTGTAAATGGAATACTTTTTCTAATACTATTTTCAATAGTTTATTATTGGCATGAGGAAACATTAACTATTTTTGTATGTTGATATAATGTCTGTCTTCCTTGTTGTATATTCTGGTTAGTTCTAAAAGTTTAAAAGTTGAACTCTTGGATTTTCCTTAGAAAATTGTCTTTATAAAGGGTCAGTTTTTGCTTTTACTGGTCAACTATTCTTTTTTCAATTTCTTCTTCTTTACAAGTTGCTGTTATCTTTATGAATTTCTTTCCTCCATTTTCTTTTATTTTACTTTTGTATTTTCCTAGCTTCTTGAATTGAAAGCCTCATTCATTAATTCCTAATCTTTCTTATTTTCTAACAAGTACATTAAAGATATATAATTTCCTCTCAGTGCAGTTTTAGCCACATCCCACAGGTTTTGACATATAGCGGTCTTGTTATCAAATTCACTTATATGTGATTTATGACTTCATCGTAATTTCTTCTTTAACCCCAAAGAGGTAAAGTATTTTTTTAAATCCTTTAAAAACAAAAGGAATACAATAATAATTATAAAAAAAGAACAAAAAACAAAATAGATCAAAACCCAAAAAGATAATTCGAGCAGTGCATACAGACATTTGATGTTTTTAAATCAAATATTTTAAAATTACACAAGGATATCTCCGAAATAGATGCCTTATTTCTCACAAATTGCAGCATACTATACAACTGTTCTATATCTTGCATTTTTTTTTCTAAGACGTCTTAAAGACTGTTTCATATTGGAACTTCTATTTTTAGAGCTGCAAGTAATTAGTCCTCTATTAATGGACATTTAATGAGTTTTCTTATTTTTGTTATTATAAACCCTGGCTGCAATGAAAATCCTTGGACACATATATTTGTGCTCATGTAAAAAACATTATCTGTAAAATAATCCTTTAAGTGAAATTACTAAGTCAAAGGGCATGTACATTTAAAATTTTTTAGGTACTGCTAAATTGCTGTGAAAAAGACTTGCACCAACTTTCACTACCACCAACAATGTATAAGAATCCTGTTTCATCATGCTGTGTCATCAAACTTTTAGTCTTTCTCCTCAAAGTTATCTCATTGTTTTAAAATTTTCATGTCTATAACTTGGATTGCGGTTAAACATCTTGTTTTAAGTTTAAAGGCACTTGTATTTTGTTTCCTGGGAACTTGCTTCTCCTGTTCTTTTGTTTTTCCAATTACAACTGGATAAGTTTTGGGCTCATTACTTCCTAATTTTATGATATTATGATTAGAGAAAGTGATCTGTATGAGTATGCATTTTGAGATACATGGAGATTTTCTTTGAGCTTAATATATGTTCAATTTTTGCAGACATTTCACAGGTGTTTGAATAGAATATATATATATATATTTCTGAATTGGGAATAAGGTTCTAGGAATAAAAATCTAAATACATTTAAAAGTGTGTTAATTGTGTTATTCAAATCCTCTATATTCTTTTTTATTTTGATTTATTTGATCTAATGATCAAATTGATTAATATCTACCACGATAACTGTGAATTTGTCAACGCATACTTGTTTTTGTTGATGTATTCAGAAGCTGTGATCTTGGTTATATTAAGTTTCATAACTATTATCCTTTTTTGGTGGACTGTAGTTTTTGGTGTCATCAATTCCATTATCACTAATATTAATATTCCCATATCTGTTTGTTGTTGTTGTTGGCATTTGCCCATTATATATTTTCCATCCCTTTATTTTCAACCTTTATATATTGCTTGCTTTAGGGGTCTCTTAAACACAACATGTAACTCAATTTTTAACCCAATCTGAGAGCTACTATTTATTAACAGGAGAATTTCATTCATTAACATTTATTGTGATAACTGATATGTTTCTTTTTCTTTTTTCTTCCCTTCCTGCTTTTTGTTGATCAGTGTTTTTTCCTTTTAGTGGTTTAGAAATTGTACATCTAATCTTTTTTTCTAATAGTAGCCCTTAAAATTTTAATACACACAGTTAAACATGTATTTTTCCATAATTTCTGGTGTTAATTAATACTTATTATCTCTCCCAAACAGAGAAATAAACTTAGCAAACATTAACTTCTTTTCTCTTAGGATTTTCTGGGATTTTAATTCTAAGGTTATTAAATTTTTTTTACATTATTCATTAATATTTTTTCGACAACTCTATTTTTCACCGATTTCTTTCCACAAGCATCATTTCTTGAATTCAAGGTTTCCTATTTCTTGCATCCATGTTCGTTTTGTAGCAGTACTTCCCCCAGTATTTTTTCTTCAGAATGGTTCTATGGGTTTTTCATGGGATTTAGATTCCACCAATCAGATATATTTGGGTAAGATTGAAATCAGAACTGAGCTAAGTAGGAAGTCAGGGTAGCACACAACAAACCTATTTTGTTGGGGTAAGTTGTAGCAGGGCAACATGGCTCTGGAGCCAAGTTCTAGAGAGAAGAGTGAGAAACTCCTTGATCCCCAAAGTAGCTAAAGTGGTATGATCCTGAAGCTTGCAGTTGGGACAACAGTCACCTGATCACCCAGCTCCCTGACTGTAGCAAAGATGGCAGTTTCCTGGGTGGGCTGGTTCTGTGGTATCATTCTGGCAGTCACCTCTGGAGGCCCAGTCTAGGCCTAGTCTAATCACATGATTGTTGCACTTAATTACAAAGCACAAGTTTTCATTTTTGTTTTGCATGGATTTCAAGGCTCTTCAAAATCAGACCACAATCAATCTTTCTGGTTTCATTTCTTATCACTATTCACAATCATCCCATGCTCCAATTATACTGAACTATCTACAATTCTTCTGCCTTTGCAGATCTCTTTTCCCCATACCCTCTACCTGAAAAACTCCTACTCATTCCTGAAGAACTAGATAAAACGTTACCTTCTTTGTGAAGCCTTCCTCAACGTTCTTCCAAAAATCAGTTAGTCTCTCTTATACTCCAACAGCCCTCTCTTATAGAATCTGAAACATTATAATTGCTTACATATATCTTTAACTTATTAGACTACAAGCCACAGGAGAGCAAAGACTTTGTCTTATTCATCTTTGTATCACCAACACTTAGAATAGGGCTAGCCATAAAACAAATTTAAGGTAAATGTTTGTGGGATGCATAAATGGCATAGTTAAGAGGTGTGCAGAATTTATTCCTTTTTCTAGTGCAACAGTAATTCTACAAAAACTATAGAAATTAAAGGTTACCTGGCATCACCCAGAATTGAAATCAGACGATACTGGGGTAACTCGGAAGATGCTACATGTGCTAAGATTCCAAAGAGCCTTTCAGCCATTATCATATCATTCTGTGTCACCTGAAGCGATACAGTGGAGAGGGGTCAAAAATGATACTGTCTCTTAGTCTGATACAACTAATATAATTCCAAAGAAAAGTCCAGATTAAATATTTTCTTTTACTCCAGGAAAGAACATTCTCCTGGGCTGTAGAGAGAAAGTTCTCTGATATTTCTTTTTATCTCCTGAGCTTAATTAAAATGAAGATGTACAAATGTAGCTCACGGTGATGGAGAATCTGAGAGGTGGTGAGTTAGCTCTGACTTAGAAGCCATGTTTCCTGAGAATTATACTTGAGACACCTTCAGTTCTTAATGGATTTTTTCAGAAATCCTGTAGCTTATTGGAGTAGAATGATTTAGGGGGAAAATCATCAATTTCAATGGAATAGATTCATTTCTATAACGTGTCAAAGGTAAGCCAAGGTGTTTTTCATATCTTGCTCCTATAAGGATAATTTTGTCCCTCCCTAAGAGATAGAACATCGTACTAGCAAGGACACTCCTGTTCATTCTGAAGTTATGTCTTTCTCTCTCCCCACAAGGAATAACCTGTCACAGGTATTCCCTATGAGGGCTCATTTCTATGTTAACCAAGAAAGTGCTAAAAGCTAAAAGCAGGACTTGCATTAATATCTGGTCCTATTTTCTTTAATATAAAATAAGGTTGCCTGCATTTTAAATACTATTAGTTTGTCTATATAATTCAGTAGTTCCCAATCAGTGTCCATTTTGGCCCCTGGGGAACATGTGGCAACATTTGGAGACGTTTTTGGTTATTGCAACTGGTGGAAGGGTGCTACTATCTAGAGGGTAGAAGCCAGGGATGCTGCTAAACATCCTACAATGAACAGGACAGGCCAACAACAAAGAATTATCTGGCCCCAAATGTCAACAGAGCTGAGGCTGAGAAACCCTGGTATAGTTAAATTTTGGATCTTTAAAAAACTCATTCTTAACACTAGCTATAAACACTTCACAGGCATTTTCTGAAAAATAAACCCAAGCATCTTATACACATGAATCAATCCAAACTAACTCTTTCCTTTCCCTTCCCTAGACCTTCATAGTTAAGGAGGCTGCTGCTCCCCCAGATCCTTCTTTTAGATGACAACTAAGTTGTTTGGTCTAATATAGTCACCTAGTGGCCAGTACAGGCCACTACTCCCTCTTTTCTTCTTGATGCTCATAATTCAATTTAATTCTACCTCAAGCAATATAATTCTCTCTTATACAAAGAGAAGTAGAAATATAGTATAACATTACTATATATTGTCAAGAATGAGATAAGCAGCTTTCTTTTAGGTCTTTTACTAAAGGGTCAAATATCCCTGGCATTGACATTTTTGGAACTTTAAACCAAAATAAATTATATTGGTTCTTTCTAATTGTTCTCTACTTTATATAATTATAGAATTCCTTCCTATTTCAAGGTTCTATAATAACTAGTACTCCTCTAGTAGTGGTCCATGTCTGGATAAATACACTATTTAGGGTTAATCAGGACAACAGTTAGGCCATTAATGAGGGAGAATTACTCACCCATAGCCAAAATAACCATTCTACTTCCAGTCCAGTTAGCTTTGGAAACTTTTGGGACTAATTATTAGATCTCACCAGTGACTCACAACCTCTCCGGGGAAGTACCAAGAAGGTACACAAGGATACACAAGACTAAACCAACTCTCTTGAGAACTAGCTGGAGAAATTAATAGTCATCTGGAGGTTCCAGATTTGTCCCACATCTTCAACAGATGGCTGACACTGGGGTTGTGGGTCTACCGTGGCTGATGCAAACTTCACACGGCTCTTGTGCGCTGACGCAGAGACCTCCAGTCTCCTAATAGTATCCTGGATTTTTGGAGTTCAAGGCCAGAGGTACTTGCAGTGTAGCAGCTGCAGGGACATACAGTTGCTCTTACCCCCATGCCGGCCAAGTTGATTATAGTTCATCCTACAACGAGGAGGCCTTCTGAATTTTAAGAGATAATCACAATAATACTAATGGCTTATTAAAGATTTTTTCCTTTGGAGGATTACTTGAATTCAGTTCAGGAATTCCACAGTGGAGGAAGCAGCATAGTTTCTCTCTTTTCTTCCAAAGTAATATTTAAAGAGAACACGGTCTTTGGATAGCTGGAGGATTACCCTTGTGACAAGCTTAGCAGAATCAATCTGAAAAATAACTTTTCACTATCCAAAAAATAATTTTCTGGGGCCAGCCCGGTGGCATAGTGGTTAAGTTCACATGCTCCACTGCGGCAGCCCAGCGTTCACAGGTTCGGATCCCAGGCGTGGACCTATGCACCACTCATCAAGCCATACTGTGGCGGCATCCCATATACAAAATAGAGGAAGATGAGCAGAGATGTTAGCTCAGAGCTAATCTTCCTCAGCAAAAAGAGGAGGATTGGCAATGGATGTTAGCTCAGAGCCAGTCTTCCTCACAAAAAAAAATAAATTAAAAAAATAATAATTTTCCAGGTATTCAGGCTCCAGGCCTGAGTTATACCATGCAGATACGCCACAGGCAGCTGTGACAAACTATTAACAAAGCAGTCTAGATGTTCACTTGTGCTTGTTTTATTTCCTTTTTCTCTCCTCTGTACTTTTTCTTCCTTTACCTTTCCTCCTTGCTTATTTCTCCTTCTTATCTCTTCCTTTTTTTTTAAGTCACTCTTCTTTCCCTATGTACATTCTCTTCTTTTTCCATGTTATTCTTTCCTTCCTCTACCACAACCCTTCTTAGTTAACATTTGGGTATTACTTCCCCATCCCCTCCTGCATGCCAGGCAGTCTGCACAGCACTTTGAAAAATACAAAGATCATATTACCCACAGAAGTGTTCTTTTTTAAACCGTCACCCTACCAGCATTTTACTTCTCTGAATGCTTACAAACAACAGTAAAAGTATTTATTATTCTCCATTAACTGGTTACTATGTATTTTCAAAATTTGTCTAGTGCTTTAGAAGAAATCTTTTTGGATAAAAAGATTTTTAGCTTTTTGACATTTTAAATGTTAAGATTTAAAAAAAAAAACATTTCTCAAAAGTTCTCTCATGGTTACTTAAATTCCTGACCATTTTTATGCCTACTTCCCCTAAAATGGAACATTTTTATTCTACAGTTGACTTAGTGTTTAGCTTACCTCAGTTCCATTTATCTTCTGCATACTGAAATGGCTCAGCCTAAACAGTACATAGTATTTCCAGAGTGTGAAGCTGACAACTGGGTTTCCTTGAGGATCAACTGTCAGCTGGTCAATGCGACGGAGTTGTGCTAGTGCATTAAATTGCTGCAGCATTACAAGATTTGTTTCCTTGAATTTAAGGTGCTGCAATAATAAAACACAAAAAAAAGAGCTGAACATTGAGTTTAACCACTTTAAAATATTAACATCAAAGCTTCACTGATCATTCCCCAAGTAAATCTGTAAACTTTAGGCTTAACTAATATGTTTTCAATTCCATCAAATCAACTGAATGTACTAAACTTAGATAACTTTAATCCATCGAATGCATCACTGATGAAATCCATTAATCCATTTAATATTCAATTCAAAGTGATTTTCCTTCTGCAAAGGACAGCCCTCTATGTATTAACAAGCTAAGATTCTTAGAAGTCATATAAATATACAACAATTCAGACTCTTTCAGGCATTACAATGATTTTATACGAAAGATTAGATATGAAAATTTCAGAACTTTATAAACACAGGGCTCACAATGTTTCTGAGAAGAATTAGTTAGCCATTATTACTTGCATCTTGCCAATTACTATGTAGGCTAGTTAAAGTGGCTACAGGAAAATAAAATCATTAAAACTGAAATGCGAGTGTAAGTGTTCTGTCTGAATTTGGATGATCTCTTCTAAACACACCATCTCCAAATCTATTTGTCTTCTTTAGGGAGGATGATGTGGCAAAAGAAAAAAACACTATAAAACAGTAGGTGATGGAAATCATTTCACTAACAGAAAAACACAACAATAATAAAAACTCAAGAAAGAATTCATTATGGAAATCACAGTTTCTACAAATGCATGCTAATAAATAATACAAGAACACCATAATTGGAAGAGAAATTTTAATGAGCTACTAAAATTATTTTAAATGTTGTTAGGGGACTAATGTAAAAATTATATATAATGTACATGTCCCATTAATGCCAGGTACAATAAATGAACACATAATATAGAGTTAGGTGAGGTCCTGTTGAATGCTTTATATAGCAGAACTATATAATTTGAATAAAATTATATTGGTCCTTTATACTTCATAAGGAATCATTTTCTAGAGAGATAATTTCCAGTATTAACAGAAAAATGCAAGGCCATTTACGAATACTAATTTAAATTCCAGATCCAGAAAATCAACACAAAAGCTTAGTCTCCCTGCCAGATAGAAACTGCATAAATAAAAGTTAAAACAGGTCTTTGGCCTGAACACACAAGTCATAACTGAGAAGAATTTAAATATACTACTAAAAAGAAATGTTTACCAGAGAATTAGGAAACTTAATCTTCAATTTGGGAAGCACTTGGACGATTTCATCAAATTCTATGAAAGTGAAGGACACTGTTGTCACCATTCCTGCTGTCTGAACGCTCCAGTTCCGATCCAGAGACTCTAGCGCTCCTGAGCCATACAGGGAAAGTGTGTCCCCATCCACTTCAACAAGGTAGGTGTCTGTGACAGATAAACCCTGTAAAGCATTGCTGAGTCCTGAGTCCAGAGACCTGGGAAACCCAACATACAATTTTAAATGAAAGTCTTATCAGGCAAAGTAAATAACAGAATGTGAAGACCAATTTCCAATTGGTTTTCCAATTCGAAACGGTATTGGAAATTTCATATTCACTTTTTCATTTCAATAATTAAACCCAGAGAATCAAGGACTAATTTTCAATGGACTATCTGGAAGTTTTGTATTCTTCTAGTCATATATTTTAATTCAAAAGGAGGTACACGTGAACAAACAAGTACCATCTTTAAATCCAAATTATTTACATCAATGAAAGATAATTGATATCCTATTTAGTTTTAAAACAATCCATTTAATATATTGCAGAGGGGCTGGCCCGGTGGCGCAGGCGCTTTAGTGCATGCGGTCCGCTGCAGCGGCCCAGGGGTCGCTGGTTTGGATCCTGGGCACGCACTAACGCACCACTTGTTAAGCCATGCTGTGGTAGCATCCCATATAAAACAGAGGAAGATGGGCATGGATGTTAGCCCAGGGCCAGTCTTCCTCAGCAAAAAAAAAAAAAATATATATCTGCGATATCTTTTCATGTCAGTACAAACAGGTTTTCTTAATTTATAAAATATTCCACCGTTTGGCTGAAAAAAATTGCATTTTACAAAATAATATTTCTATATTAAGAACCATATAATATAGAAATATGTTTTTAAAACACTTCAGAAGACATATACTAACTGTTAACAACAGTTTATCTCTCAATGGTTGGATTAAAGGGTAATGTTGACTTTCTATTTTTGAATACTTCAATGTTGTTTGAAATTTTGCAAGTGTATGTATACTACAGTTATAAGCAGTAAAATCAGTGAAGAATTCCTCCCCATTTTGAAACAAGAAATGATGAAAAAAATCATATTATATTATATATTAAATATATTTTTATTAAATTTGTTAAATATCATATATCATATTTTTATATATATTAAATAGTACATATATAGAAAATCACTTCACATACTCTACTGAATATCATAATTGCTATTATTTCCAAAGTAGAATCCACATTTTCTGTAAAAGTTTACCTAAACGATAGCTGAAGAAGAAAATAAATAGCTCGATCCAAATCAAATTTTCTGCTTTGTGAATAGAGACATAATATTTGTTTCACCCAATCTCAAAACTCTGACAATGCTGGGCTTTTGTTCTATGTGTTTTCATTCTGAGATTTTTGCTTTCAGACAGTATTTATCTGCTCTTACTAATATTAGTGCTTTCCCTCCTTTGTGCTCTTATGGAATTTTGTACACTCCTCCAATACATCACTTCTTATATGCTATCATAATTATTTATGTTTACAATTTTGTCTCCTCTATCAGACAGTGAGTTCCTCAAGGCTAAAGACTATAGTTTTTCATCTTTGGGGGCTCTGGGGCCTCGTAATGGGCTTTTCACAATGTATATTGAATGAATGCATTATTAAAGATCTTCAAAATTTTTATAACGCTGATGTTGGTGGATAAGACTGACAAACCATCACCCTGTTAGTTTATCATGCTTCACTAGACTTACATGTACTTACTTCAGAGACACCAGCTAACCTGTAACACATTTGTCTATACAATAATAAGTAATAATATCAGTCAACTCTAAGTAAGTATGCAACCAAGAAAACACAAAAAAGCTTGATTTCTGCCAGACTAGTGCTCAAGACGATGATTATTATATGACAATAATTCAATGAGAGTACTATATGAATAATCTTAGACGATAATCCTGAAAGGTAAAGGTTGATAATAGAACAAAAATAAGATGAGAATTAAGAGTTTCTTATATTGTGATTTGTGTGATGGTTTTGTGCTGAGCTATGTAGAGCATATGGTCATTTCTGGAACAAGATAAAGGATAAGAGTTATATTTCACTGCCACTAAAATAAAGAAGGCTTAATGAAAAGAGTGCATGCCCCTATTATAGCACTTACCACATTGCACTGCAATTACCTGTTTACTTGTCTGTCTCTCTCACTAAATATTGTGATCTTTAAGGGCTCAAACTTTGTCACATTCACTACAGTAGATCCAGCATCTAGCACAATTCCTAGTACATGTTGTGCTCAACAAATATTTCTTGAATGACCTAATGAAGTGAGATAATTATAAAGGTTTTGTTGTTGTTGTTGTTGTTTTTTGGTGAGGAAGATCGGCCGTGAGCTAACATCTGTTGCCAATCCTCCTCTTTTTGCTGAGGAAGACTGGCCCTGGGCTAACATCCATGCCCATCTTCCTCTACTTTATATGTGGGACACTTGCCACAGCATGGCTTGATAAGCGGTGCATAGGTCCACACCCGGGATCTGAACTCGCAAACCCCAGGCCACCAAAGCACAGCATGCAAACTTAACCACTACTCCACCAGGCTGGCCCCGACAATTATAAAGTTTTTTATGAGTATCTATTGAATCTTAAAAAGGATGTTCCAACCATAAACTGTGGTTTGAGCAATGGGGCAGAATCAGTGATACACAGAATGAGGGTTCACAAGAAAGTTTTTTCAGGTGAGGCAAAGACAAATAATGAAAAAGTAAAGTCAAGGCAAGAAAAAAAGCTAGCTAGTTGATGTAGTGATGCCTGAAGGCTATGATACCCGCAAAAGAAGTTTGTTTTAATGTAAAAATGATGGGGAATCAGAGCTATGTACCAAAAACATGAATAAATCCTTTGAGAAGTGGTGGTGTTTTATATCATATATTTGGAAGTGTCTTGCTTTTCTTTTTCCATTTGATTAAAAGTTTAAACTACAAAATAAAAAGTCTATCATCAGAAAGGGATTATTTTTTTTGCTTAAAGGTTTGTCAAGCAAACTGTTGGGGAAATAAGTGAAATAAAAACAAGCCTAGACTCAGCAAAACAGCAGAAGTAATCTCCAGTTTATATAGATCTCACATGGACATTCAGTAAAACAAATGGGCTGTAGACAGGTCCATCCTTCTCAATAGGAGACAGCACCTGTTATATAGGTCATTCAATACTTAACCCATTTCAGTTATTTTCTGAATGAGGCTTGAGTTTAGCTTCAAACTCTGGCCAGTACGGAACAGAGGAACCTGTTCCTCCAGGAAGGTGTGCTCTGATTTCTATAAAAAATAACTTAGAAAGTTTGCTAACCAATGTTTATACGTTGGGGATTGTCCTTCCAGTTTTCCTTGTATGCTTGATAGATATGTCCACATCTTTTTAGACATACATACATACATATTATTTCATTTGTTTATTCATTCATTTATTCACCAAACATTCTCTGAAAGCCCACTATATACAGGGCACTGTCCTAAGAATTCTGGCACAGGCAACTAACTCCTTTGTATTGATAAGGACAATGAGTATAGAAATCGTATGCAAGTTTTTAGATATATCAGAATTTTTCCTCAATTCTATTGGGCTATGGTCCCAGAAATAAAAGTGCTCTAATAATACCCTGCAATTAATTTAATAAACACATGGGACATAATTTCTAAACTGAAATGACCCCAACCTCATTAAACAAATAGGTTAATCTGGAGAGCTTATTATATATCAGGTATTATGGTAGGCACTGGGGATATAAAGATAAATTAAGACTTATTTGCCCTTAAAGAGCTCCCAATCTGGATGGAGGGTGGAGAGCAAGATAAATATATACATTAACTCTAATATAATGTGTTTATTGTCACATAATGAATATTTAAACAATATGCTATGGGAATACAGAGGAAGGAAGAACTAATTCTTCTAGAGGGAAGAAGTCAGACTTCAAATGAAGGTAGCATTAGAACTGATCCTTGAAAGAGAAATAGTAGAATTTCATCAGAGGTAGAAGGAGGAAGCACACTTAAGGGAAGAAGAACAGAATGCAGAAAGGCACAGAAGCCTAATTATGTACAGCATATTCAGTCAAGAACAATTTCAATATGGCTGGAACACTGAAACATACAGGGGAGTAGCAGCTGAAGATGAAGCTGAAAAGTCAGATTTTATTCTATAATGTTGAGAAGCAGAAAAAGATCTTTAAATAAAAAAGTAATGGGACCATATTTAATGCAAGCTTTTTAGCACCTCTAATGTGCCATGCGTGGAGTTAGGTGCTGGTGCTGGGGATACAAAGATGAATAAGACATGTTCTCTGCCCTCAAGGACCCACTTGAGACAGTAAGTTGGTCACTTTGTGGAGGATGTAGCAGGGGGAGGCTGGATGGAGGGGGAATAGTAGGAAGACCAGTGCAACAGCGTCAACTAGACCATATAACAGCGTAACAAAAAAAGAGGGAATGGTGTAGTGGAAATGGCATTGGCAAGAAAATCAGATGCACCTTAGTTCAAAGCCCAGATCCGCCACTGACAAACAGATGACTTTTGGGGCAAGTTATTTAATTTCCTTGTAGTTTCAGTTTCCTTGTATGCAAAATGGTGATCATAATACATATTTTTTTCAGAGTTGTTATGAAGACTAGAAATAATATTCTAAACTATACCTCATGCTTAGCTCAATACAGTTTAGTGATGATTTTTAATAAGAAAAGAGAACATAGATACACCAGAGATTTAAGAGAAAATAAAAGTAGGACTTAAGTGACTCATTGTGCGGAATGAGGAAGAGAGAAGAAACCAAACGTGACTCAAATGTTTTAGAGTAGGTGACGGGTCACTTGGTCCAGTTTTCTACTTCTGTCTAGTCTAAATTTACACTCTAAGAAATGTGGTATTCTTCCGCAGAGGATCCATGTTTTAAAATTTGTTTTCTCATGAAGCTCCATGAGATTTCCTTATGGCGGGGAAGCCCCAATACATTTCCACATAAATTTCCCAACTCAAATATTATTTATATAACAGTAGGCAGTCTGCCATCAAATAGGAATTTTCTTCAAGATCTTTAGTGGTTAATTCCAAGTCCAAGCGTTCGTTTATTCAACTCAATCTTTATATAAGAATGAATCAGAAAAATATTCTGTCTTCTTGATTAGTGGAAGACTCTAAGAGAAGACAGGGTGATTAACTTAATGCAATAAA